GCCCCATCCAACCACCCCTTCTCCCTGACCGCCCCCGGAACCCCTGCTCCTGACTGCCCCCTGCCACCCCATCCAACCCCCCCTCTCCTTCCTGCCCCCCAGGACCCCTTCCCCCATTCAACCCCCCTGTTTCCTGTCCTCTGACCACCACGCCCCTGACCACCACCCCGAACTCCCCTGTCTTTTATCCAACCCCCCCCCACTCCCTGCCCCCTTACCACACTGCCTGGAGCACCGGTGGCTGGTGGCGTTACAGCCATGCCGCCCAGCTGGAGCCAGCCACACACCACAGAGCACCAGGTCAGGCCGGGCTCTGCCCGGCTGCCCAGAGCATTGCACCAGCGGCGTGGCGCGCTGAGGCTGCAGGGGAGGGGCCAGGGGCTAGCCTCCCAGGCCAAGAGCTCAGGGGCCGGGCAGGAGGGTCCCGCGGGCCGGATGTGGCCTGTGGGCCGTAGTTTGCCCACCTCTGTATTAGATTGTATCAACTTCTTATCCCTTTTTTACATACAGTCAGATCACCCATACAGAAATGTGTTGAATTGCTTTTTTGGTTTTCAAAAACGTTGTGTTCATTGTTGTACCTCACCTATTCCATTCTATGATAGTGGAGTAAGGCACACAGCATTAGGGTGCTGCCTGCTTGGAAGCAAGGCGACAGTCATGAACTTGCACCTCAGATTACATATGCCGCAGACAGATGTCTCGCAGCTTTCTTTGCCTCCTCAGCTTATAAGCATAGAGTCTTCACATTCTTTCCTGCTGTCTTCCTCCTGCATCTCCTTCTATTCTTGCTGTCCTGTCGGGGCTCCATGAAATTATGGAAAAAATAAACAAAGACAGAAATGAAGTCTGAGGCAGCTTCCAGCATGGGGGCTGAGCACCACCCCTTCGTGCAGACTGTTGTATCAGATACTGTAACTCTCACCTCCTGGTGAGTGTTGAGATGAGATGCTGAAATGGCAGTTATGATTTCACTGGCTCTGTAGTGACTCAGTTGCTACTGGATTTTAAACCTGATGAGCTTAGTGGTTACCCCACACTCCCAGTGGACATTGCCTGAGATTCCAGACTTGTTGTTTCTCGGACCTGTGGCTCTGGCAACCACCTTTTGGCTTTGGCTTGCCTCACGCTTAGTCTCAGATCTGGAAGATCTTCATCACTTGCTGTGACACCAGGGATGCTGCTGCCTTGTCTCGCTAAATCCAGTATGCTGGGACTTCATAGTTGAATTTCAAGAACAATCTCAAAGACCCTTAATGCATTCAGTGATACCTTAATGGGATATGACTCTCATCCTGCAGGTTCTGATGGGTGTCCTGTTTGAGTTCTGCCTTATTGCTGTGACCTTGTCCAAATGAGGTAGTTGAACTTTCCCATTTCTTCTTGCCCACCTTTCTTTCCAGAAAGATGGATTTTCAGCATCCTTGGGGATTCATTCCAAAGAGGAATACTGGATTCCCCCTTTACAAACCTAGTATATTCACCATTATCCCTATGACACAATGCTGCTCTTGTTTGGATATTGAGCATGTTCTCGAGTTCAGAAGAAGCTGAGCAACTGTTTCAAGGCTGTAACAAGGGAAAGGTTACAGATGAATTTAATATTTTTAGGTGAGTCTGAGGTGGCACTTAAGCTGGTATGCCTCATCCTGTGTTTTAGAGGCCATTTAGCTAGGGAAGCCTTCATTCACAGATGAGAACTTTCACAATTTTTTAGCTCCTTCTTCCCAGTAGGTGGCACCATAGAACACTATCCTATAATTCACTGTTGTAGGATGGGAGAACAGGAAATTAACAGAATTACCAGTCAATAACTTTTCCTTGCTCCATTGCTATTTCTTTTGTATGTACTGCTTACATATGCATATTCCACTTTCTACTCATAGGAGATAAGGTGACCTGGCAGCTCTTTGCAAACCCGTGCAAGTGTTTTGTGGCTCACGCTTGAGGACCTTTTCCCTAAAAGTTGCAGAATAATGTAGCATCACTATAGTGATATTGTCTAAAGTAGAATAATACAGTCTTTCTTTTGGTCATTGATCCTTGATTAAATTCTTTGTCCAGTGGTTTTGACTGAATGGTCTTTTACAGGCCCTTCAGGCACCAGCATGCCATGAAAATCTGGTAAAAGTAGGTGGCTACATCCTGGGAGAATTTGGAAATCTAATAGCTGGTGACCCAAGATCTAGGTAAGAACACCTAAAACAGACCACTTAAAATACTATAATTGTTTATCATGGAATCTTATAGTGAATTCTCCTGGCTCTCTCAAATATTACGGTCACATACAGCTGAGTGTTTAACTGTTATTATTAATTAATGCATATGTATTATGATATCAGGAAAACTGAACAAACTGTATTTTTTTTCCCTTAAGTCCTCTGATTCAATTCAACTTGCTGCACTCCAAGTTTCATCTGTGTAGTGTTCCCACCCGTGCACTGCTTCTGTCTACCTACATCAAGTTTGTGAACCTATTTCCAGAAATCAAAACTACCATTCAAGATGTACTGCGCAGTGATAGTCAGCTGAAGAATGCTGATGTTGAACTACAGCAGAGAGCCGTTGAATACCTGAGGCTCAGCACCATTGCTAGTACGGATATCTTGGTAGGTACATAGAGTTAAATATGGAAAAGTCTTTGCAAGTGGTTGACTATCAAATACAGTTCTAAGTCCTCTGTCTGGGCAGGATTCTACTTAAATGTTTTAGTGGATGTTGCTTAGTAAATGGACTTCCCAGAACTTTGTTAAGATGAAGTTAAAGTTGCCCAGTACTGTCTTATGCCATTCTAGACCATCGAGTTCTGCTACATTCCAAACTTCTGAAAATCAAAAAATGAACAGATAAGGTATAATGCAAATATAAATTTCTGAAATAGAATAGAGTTAAGATGCATGCCACTCTGACAACCCAGCTTTAATTCTGCTGCTTGGATCTGGCAGGAGTCATTGGAATGGTTCGCTAAGAGCGGAGCTATAGTAGGTAGACTTGAAGGGGCTATGCTAAAGTGTCATTGTGTTATGTTCCACTGATGTGAATTGCAGCATTTATCTGCATGTACTCCAGCAGTGTTCATTGTTAGGTGTAGCTGTTTTGAATAGTGGAGGGATTAGTTGGAGCAGGTTGACAGAGCTGCTACGTTAAGATGGAGAGCTGCATATGCATTTGAGGAGTAAAGTATGACTCTTCTCAGATTTGAGATCTTTAGGTTGTGTCACTAATGGTGCACAGAAGTTTTGTCATGGGGATTGTCAGCAGTCTGGTGACATACAAGTCTCCAGGACGAAGTGAGATATAAGTGAAGGCAATGTCTGTGATATCCTCATGACAAAGGTGAAGGAGTGGTAATATTTAGCAAGTCTGGGGTGATTTGTGGGGAGTGACCTCTGTATGAGTGCAGGCGAGGTGTAGATAGCTCTTGTTTTGCTATGCTTGATCTAAACCAGAGTTTTGCCTCAGCAAAGAGAAGGTGTTAAACTTTGTCTTGGGGCAGGTCTTCACTAC